TTTTTGTATTTTTGGTAGAGACGGGGTTTCACCATGTTGGCCAGCTGGTCTTGAACTCCTTACCTCAGTTGATCTGCCCACCTTGGCCTCCCAAAGTGTTGGGATTACAGGCATGAGCCACTGCACCTGGCTCTGTTCCTCTACATTTGTTAGTGAGCATTTTACTTTCCCTGATCGTGAAAGATCTTTCCTTTTTCTTCCTACGTATTTGTTCTTTGGTGTCACTCTGATTCATGGATTCTTTTTTTAGTCAAATGTAATATTATACCGATAGTTATTCTGATGAACTTCGGTGTTTTTTTTTTTTTTTTTTTTTTAACCTAACAATATATTCTGGATATCACTCTGTGTCAGTTCATAGAGATCTTCGTTGTTGGCTTTTACAGTGACATGCTATTCCATTGTGTAGACACACCATAATTTATTCAAACAATTTCTTACATATGGACATTGAGGTTGTTTTTAATATTTTGCAATTACAAATTACGCTTGAATAGCCTTGTACATAAGCACATATATATGTATAAATATATATATGTAGGCCAGGTGCGGTGGTTCACACCTGTAATCCCAGCATTTTGGGAGACCAAGACGGGCAGATCACAAGGTCAGGCGATCAAGACCATCCTGGCTAACACGGTGAAACCCACCATCTCTACCAAAAATACGAAAAATTAGCTGGGCATGGTGGCATGTGCCTATAGTCCCAGCTACTTGGGAGGCTGAGGCAGGAGAATTGCTTGAACCAGGGAGGCAGAAGTTGCAGTGAGCCAAGATCGCGCCACTGCAATCCAGCCTGGGCAACAGAGCAAGACTCCATTTCAAAAAAAAAAAAAAAATATATATATATATATGTGTGTGTGTGTGTGTGTGTGTGTGTGTGTGTATATAATTGTTAGAGGTCATTCAGGAATTCAGGATAAGTATCCAAAAGTGAGATTTCCCTATCAGAGGGTAAATGCTGTGTAATTTTGTTGAATATTGCTCAGTTCCCCTCAACTGGATTGCACCATTGTGTGAATCCCACAGCCTCACCACATAAGTGGTTTGTAAAGATTTTGAGTTTCTGCCATTCTGATGGGCAATAGGTGTATTGCAATTTAAATTTCTGTTTATATTATTATGTAAATAGAGCTTGCATTCACCCACTATGTGAGTGGTTCCTAAAACTTTAATTTCTAGAAATGGCTTCCACTCAGGCTCCAGGTCCTTATTCTTCAGCCCCAACCCCTCTTTCCTCCCTCTAGACACTTCCTTCCATCTAAACCGCCACGGCAGCCTTCTTCAGCACACAGATAACATCCTCCTCACTGAGTGGGCAGGAAAGGAGGTTCAAAGAATGAAGTGGTTTACCCAGCCAGTAAGTGGAGAATCCAGGACTAGACCATCTCTTCATTTTTGTTTGTTTGCAGTTTTTTCTTTTTTTTCCTTTCTTTCTTTTTACTCTTTTTCTTTTCTTTCTTCTTCTTTCTTTCTTCCTTCCATTTCCTTCCTTCCTTCCTCTTTCTCTTTCTTCCTTCCTTTTTCTTTCTTTCTTCCTTTCTCTCTCTCTCTCTTCTTTCTTGTTGTTGTTTTTGCTGAGACCATGTGCTCAGATTCCTAGTACATGACTATAAAGTTAGGAAAGAGTCCCCGAGACCACTTCCACCTCCGATACCAGTTTAAAGTTTAGGGGTCCCCACAACCACCTTAAAGTTCAAGAATCCCCTTAGTGGACTCACAGAACTTACTGAAAGCTATTATACTTACTTACAGTTTATTACAGCAAAAGGACACAGATTAACATCAGCCAGGGGAAGAGACACATAGGGCAGCGTCCAGGAGAGCTTCCAGCAGTCCTCTCCCAGTGGAGTAATGGACTCCTTCTGGAAACTATATACATGGACCATATACATGCAGTATTGCCAACCAAGGAAACTCATCAGGCTGTTGGTGTCCAGAGTGTATAGTAGGGCTTGATCCTGTGGACATGGCTGGCTTGACCTTAGTCTATTCCTTCAGGGGTCAAGCTGATATGTTGTGGCCAAATCTCCCACTGTAAATCACATTGGTCTAACATGTTGTTTCTGTTTGGCATGGCCCATGGCCTCCAGGTAAACAAAGCGCTATCATCAGGCAGGACAATCTAAGGGCTTAGACATCACCCCCCAAGAGTCAAGAGCAAAGCCCAGATCTCACTTCAAGTAAGCTTAAAATTCTTTACTACACAATACCCTTTCCTTACTACAGGAAAGTGGGGGTGCCCTGCTGGCCCTCACAGAGGAAGAGCTCGTAACTCATAACCCACATAACTGTAATGAAGGGCAATCCCATCTGACTGAAAAACAGGACTGGAAACAGGCACTGAACATTCCAGAAGGAAAGAGAACCGCACAGGGGAGCGCGTAAGTGGATTTAATGATGGCTAGTCTACAAGAAAAAGTGCAATCGACTCAGGTTACTGAAAATTCACCCCCAATGTTTTCCTCTACTCATCAAATGTGGAACGAAGGGGCTCACTGGAGCTTGCTCGTGGCTCACATCGGAGACAGCAGGCCTCAGTCTTATTCTCTGATTATAACATCGAGGACCCCTAGATGGCGTTGATTTCCAGCTTGGACGGCAATTAGTTAACAACAACAAAAAAGGAATCTGAAAGTTCAACAAACCTCTTCTTTTCTTTTTTTCAAACTTTTTTTGTTTTTTATTAAGCACATTCCACAGTACAAAGCTGTCATGAATAACATCTGTACAACTGAACACTTTCAATAGCTGTTAAGACACAAATTTATTTCAAACAGATAATTGGCAAACATAATTAATTACAAGTTAGAATTAGACTATCCCAGTGCTTTAAAACATTAATATAGCAGTAATTTACATTTGCTCAATTATGGTTAGCAAAATAAACTGGAGGAGGTTGCAGCGAGCCGAGATCACGCCACTGCACACCAGCCCAGGCTACAATGCGAGACTCCCTCTCAAAAAAAAAAAAACAAAAAAAGTTGTTGACATTCCTTGATCTTTGGAAACAACAGCAAAGGGCAAATCAAACCTAATATTGAATAAGGGAGAAGGAGTGCCAACTGGATGCCAATGTCCTTTCCGTGCACCGTCGGGGCAACAGTGCCATTTACACATTTGGACTGTGTACTCGGGAGTACTTGGGAGCTTTGAGAACCTGCTGAGGCTGCAGCCGCAGGTGACACCAGAGATGACTGGGGTGGGAATCATGGGCTTGAGGTTTTATACCACTTAGGAGTGCTCTCCCCTCAGCATGGGCCTCTGAACCAGTCTGACCTGACCTGCAGGCTCCAACACACCAGCGGGCCCTGCCAGAACCTTGGCAAGGCCAGGATGCATGAATTCCAGAGCCAGGACAGCCCGTCAATAGGGCCTTCTTATTTCCCCTTCCCAGGGCTACAACTGCACAGAATAATGATTTTTGACAGTGAAGCCAAATGAATACTATGGGAAGTGACCACTAGTACTCAGGAGTACTTATGAGAAAAAGAATAAGAACAAAAAATGTTTGTTATCTCTCTATTATGTAATACATACTGCACAACAAATAAAACATTTCGTGTTGAACTTTAGAAATTACATTTTGAAACAAGATTCTCATTAAAAACACACACAAACCACACACACACACAATGACAACAAAATAAAAACACTGTAGGAATACTGTGGGAAGGGTTCCAGGTAATCCACATCAACCCTGGTATCAGGTTCTTGAGCCCAGCTCACGGCTATGTGCGAACACACTCTATATTAGTGTCTCAAGCACACAGGGCCCTGACTCCAGCAACTTTGAGGTTAAACTGTTATGTACATTATATCTACATGCGAACACAGTATTTTAAGTTAGGAGGCAAGCACATGTATAAAGGTGTTACTCTACCAAATATCAGGAGATCGTTGGGGGACAGAGAATAGTTAATAAAAGGGCTAACCCCCATGGCACGTGTATACCTATGTAACAAAACTGCACGTTCTGCAAATGTACCCCAGAGCTTAAAATATAATTTAAAAAATTTTAAAAATAAAATAAAAGAGCTATGTTGGGAAATAATATAACTGACTTATAGTTCTTTTTTTTTTTTTTTTTGAGACAGAATCTCGCTCTGTCGCCCAGGCTGGAGTACAGTGGTGCAGTCTGGGCTCGCTGCAAGCTCTGCCTCCCTGGTTCTGGCCATTCTCCTGCCGCAGCCTCCCGAGTAGCTGGGACTACAGGCGCCTGCCACCACGCCTGGCTAATGTTTTGTATTTTTAGTAGAGACGGGGTTTCACCGTGTTAGCCAGGATGGTCTTGATCTCATGACCTCGCGATCCGCCCACCTCGGCCTCCCAAAGTGCTGGGATTACAGGCGTGAGCCACCGCACCCGGCCAACTGACTTACAGTTCTTTAAATTAAAAGAAATTAGTACAGAAAGGAAGTATAATCCAAAAAATATGACTAAAACAACCCAGAGAGGTTTTTCCATTGTCCGACATGTTCCTAATCCAACAAGTCAGAATTCATAATGACTTGGACGGTCAAAAGGACAATGCTAACTTTTGAAAATCAAAGCCCTGGACGTTCTGAGTAGGTGTTTGGCACCCACAATCTCACTGAAGAAGAATGCTGTTTCTTAATGTCAAGCCAAAGTGCAAAGCAATATAGAGGCCAAGTCTTCTCTTGACATTTGATTTACTTCGGTAAAACAGATTCTATGTTCCTTTTCTATGAACAGTTTACATTTGAAACATTAGATTTTTTTCACTGATGAGGGAAGGAAATGGGCTTCTGTGCTACTTTCAAGTCGGTGATGCTAAGGTCTCCTTCTCAAAGTAGAGCCGGAATCAGAGGTGAGAAATGTCGGGACTTGAAGAGTTAGGCTACTTTGCATGTACCCAGCATCTAGAACCAATTCCAGCTTCGTAACTCAGCTGTGAATGAACTCCCTTAGGCATCTGATAGCCAAGTAGGCAGTAGTTCAAGACTAGAAAACCCGGAAATGGGTGAAAGTGCAGACTGTTATCTAGAGATGTAAGTGTATGTTCTGGAGGGGGAATGGGTCTCATTCTGGGCACTGGGAGGCACATTTAAGGAATCCCAAATCAAGATAGTGTCATTGTGGGAGCTGCTGATGATTTGAAACTCATCAAACTGTAGCTGAAACACACGTCCAGAATGTTCCACCAATGTGCGCAAACACAAAGTGCTTGCTGGGGCTCGAGGGTCAAGAGCAGCTTGTGAGTCCTAAACTTCAATTTTCCCATCATAGGCCCCACTGACAATCCTCTTTACCAAACCGGATGCATTGGTGAGATGCATTCTTCAGATTCTACGGTGAGAGTGGGATATGAACAGGGGTGAAGTTCTTAACACATTAATCCACCACAATGAGGCTGTACCGCACTTACGCTTCAGCAGTGGACTGATGGTGACCTGTTCCAAGGACCACTCCATTGCTCTGTGGGACAGGGCTTCTGCGACCGATTCTTCATGTCCCTCTAGGACTCTTAAAACAGAAGCCACATCCAATATCCGAGAGCCTAATGGTATTATCTGATGATCCACTAACAACCAGCCCATCCCTGTACTGGAAACAAGACTCGCTTGTGCCCACTGACAGTACGAACAAATTCACAGGTGCTCGTGCTTCAGACTTTGATGGTTCTGTCACCCGAGGCGGACACGATGTATTTGTCGTCAGTCTACTACATCGACAGCAGCTTTAGTGGCCAACCAGGACACGGCGTAAAGTGATATCGGTCGCAGAAGCCCTGTCCCACACAGCAATGGAGTGGTCCTTGGAACAGGTCACCATCAGTCCACTGCTGAAGCGTAAGTGCGGTACAGCCTCATTGTGGTGGATTAATGTGTTAAGAACTTCACCCCTGTTCACATCCCACACTCTCACCGTAAACTCCGAAGAGCCAGTTACAATGACACGCTCATCATACTGCAGACAGAGGACAGAGCCTGTGTGTCCGTTAACACTTTCAAACATTCCAGGCTGGTTTTATCCCAAATCTTAATAGAATTATCTTGTGGGCCACTGATAATTTTTTCATCACTGTACTGTAAAGCGTAGATGCCTTTACTATTTTCAGAGCGGTACTGAATCCTCTGCAAGCTGTGTCGGCCACACTGCCAGGTGGATTCTATAGTCTCTATATCCTGGATAATCTTTGGGTATAATGACCCATAAAATGAATTTGGAGGGCTAGCTGTGGGTCTGTTTTTAAACAGGTACTGATCCCACCCTCTTCTTTCTGAAAGTCCTTTCCATGGGGGATCAGTGTATTTAACCAGGTACTGATCCCACCCTCTTCTTTCTGAAAGTCCTTTCCACAGGGGGTCAGTGCGTCCCATTCGTTCAATCAGCTTCTTCCAGAGCATTCGTTCTGAGATCACTCGCTGCCATTCTTTACATACCAGCTCTGCTGCACACAGAGACCTGGCATCCAGGTATGAAAGAATATTTTCTGCTATGTGATCTAAGCCTTGCTCAGGTAAAGCGGCAATAAAGTCCCGCTGCAACATGGGCTTCAGGTGAGAATTAATACGTCTATGCTGCTAATGACACATTCAGGAAATAAGATGTTCCACGAATTCCACCTGATCTGATTCAGACCACTGGTCAAAATATTGAATACACAAGTCTTTTTCTTTTTGGTAGTTTCCTTCTGATGGCCTGCTTCTGGAGACAATCACAGACAATGTTCCATTACTTATCTGCCAAGGAGTATTTTTCTTTGGGGACTCATCTTCATCTTGATCTTCCATAACTGAAGTGTTAGTTCCACATGGCTGGGGAGGCCTCATAATCATGGCAAAAGGTGAGGAGGAGCAGGTCACATCTTACGTGGAATGGCAACAAGCAAAGAGAGAAGCTTGTGCAGGGAAACTCCGCTTTTTAAAAACATCGGATCTTGACCAGGCACATTGGCTTACGCCTGTAATCCCAGCACTTTGGGAGGCTGAGGCAGGTGGATCCCGACCTGAGGTCGGGAGTTTGAGACCAGCGTAACCGACATGGTGAAACCCCATCTCTACTAAAAATACAAAATTAGCCAGGCATGGTGGCGCATGTCTGTAATCCCAGCTACTTGGGAGGCTGAGGCAGGATAATCGCTTGAACCCGGGAGGCAGAGGTTGCAGTGAGCCGAGATCGTGCCATTGCACTCCAGCCTTCAACAAACCTCTTCTGTCAAATTATATTTCCCAGTGAGGTAAGATTACAATAAGGATTGGCTTTCAATTTGTGCAGTTGGTGTAAGTTCACCTCTTGATTCACTTTGTAAATCTTTGCCACAGGACTGCTGTGGTGGTTGGAAAGGTACTCCACTGCCAATAGGACAAAGTTCAACAGGGACGGGCCAAGGCGTGCTAGTTAGGGAAGGAGGAGGGGAGAGGAAGACAAATATGGGCAGAGCGTGGCACAGAACAAATAGCAGGCATTTTTCCACAAGGGCAGGGCTTCCTACAAAACTAACAACTGAGTTTAGCCAGCAGGGGAGCCTGAGTGAGGCCCCCCTGCAGTGCAGTGGGAGAATGGGGCAGTGGGAAGGTGGAGGTTGCAGGGGCGAGGTGGGGAGGGAGGGCTAGAGAGTTGTGAGTGAGGAAATAAACCTTTTTCTGCTTCGCCCCCTGCTGCCTTCTCTACACCAACTAGGCTGTCTTCAACAAGGAGGGGAGATATTTCTCTTCGCTCTAGTTTCCCTCCCAACTCCAGCTGTCTTTTTCAGGATTTCCAGTCTCCTCCCACCTTCTTGGATAGGAAGCCTGGGCTACAAGCAGCTGTTTTCTTTCTTTATGCTGTAGACAAAAGCTAAATAAGTCCCAAACTCAAAACTTGGGTACCAAAGCCTTAATGATCTTATTTTAGGCACAAGAGTAAAATAAAGAGAAGTGAAGCATTATTTGGAGTGGTGACAAGACACCGACGGTAAAAATGAGCAGGAAAGTATCTGATGGTGACTATTGCTTATGAAGGAGTGAAACTGAGTGTCTGATAGTGGATGAGTGGGTGGGCATTCTTAGCTATGGCAGGAATGGTTGCTTTAAGAAGGTGACATTTAAACAAAGAGCCGAAAGATAAGAATGAACCAGTAGTGTTAACAGCTTCTGTTGGGGAAAAATTCCTTGAAGTGATTAAGGAAGCCCGGGCTTGCCCTAGAACATGTGGAATCAACTAAGACTAACCAAACTGGCTGAGGATGGAGTTTACACACCCAGTGGAAGGCGTGTTCGAAATAATAACGCATTTCAGTTATGGGAAAATTAAGAAAGCTACAATCCTCACCACCAAGGGAGAGGCTGGCAAAAGAACTGGGTCTTGGGTGGCTCTACTGAAACCCACCAGAAAGTCTCCAGAAGCTTTCTCTAAGACTTGGCCCTAACTTGGTGAGCCGTATCATTTCCAGCATAGTGGGGTGGGGACAAGTGAGGACTCTGGCATCAGAGACAAAGCACTGAATTCTAGGTGTGTGACCTTAGGCAAATACTTAATGACTTGGAGCCTCAGTTTCCTCATCTGTAAACGGGGTATGAGAACCCTCCCATTCCAGGGGACTGCAAGGGTTACGTGTCGCCATGTGTGCAGAGTATTGCCATAAAGTTGACATGAAGGACCTTAAGATGTAGTGTGCAGGCCGGGCGCGGTGGCTTACGCCTGTAATCCCAGCACTTTGGGAGGCCAAGGCGGGTGGATCACCTGAGGTCAGGAGTTAGAGACCAGCCTGGCCAACATGGTGAAACCCCATCTCTGCTAAAAATACAAAAATTAGCTGGGCCTGGTGGCGGGCGCCTGTAATCCCAGCTACTTAGGAGGCTGGAGCAAGAGAATCGCTTGAACCTGGGAGGCGGAGGTTGCAGTGAGCCCAGATTGCACCATTGCACTCTAGCCTGGGCAACAGAGTGAGACTCTGTCTCAAAAAACAAAACAAAACAAAAAAAACAGGCCCGGAGTAGTGGCTCACCCCGGTAATCCCAGGTCTTTGGGAGGCCGAGGCAGGGGAATCACGAGGTCAGATCAAGCCCATCCTGGCTAACACGGTGAAACCCCGTCTTTACTAAAAATACAAAAAATTAGCCGGGCATGGTGGCAGGCGCCTGTAGTCCCAGCTACTAGGGAGGCTGAGATGGGAGAATGGTGTGAACCCAGGAGGCGGAGGTTGCAGTGAGCCGAGATCAAGGCACTGCACTCCAGCCTGGGTGACAGAGCGAGACTCCATCTCAAAAAAAAAAAAAAAAAAAAGAGAGAGAGAGAAAGAGGAAGAGGAAGAAGAAGAAGAATTAGCCGGGTGTAGTGGCGCACGCTTGTAGTCCCAGCTACTCGAGAGCTTGAGGCAGGAGAATCACTTGAATCTGGGAGGCAGAGTTTGTAGTGAGGTGAGATTGCGCCACTGCACTCTGCACTCCAGCCTGGGTGACAGAGTGAGACTCTACCTCAAAAAAAAAAAAAAGAAAAAAATAAGGTGGTGTGCAGCCACACATCAGAGGTTCCTGAAGTAGCCCAAGCAGATTGCTTGGTGGAATAAAGAGGTGCTTTCTGTAGCCCCAGGACCTGGAAGGGAGGAAGAAATGCCTTTACTACCTGAAGGAGTCTTTCCTAGCAAACTTCTGCTTGCAAAGGACAAACAGCATTATCTCACGCAGCTCTTACATAACAGGTTATGTAACTACTTAAGGGGAAACAACTCTGAGGATGGCTGAGATTTCCCAGAATCACCCATAATTGTTTTAAATATAAACACTTTCCCACATCAACATGGAAATAGCCATCACAGAAGACGACGCAAGTGGCTTGTTACCATCTACATGGTTCTGATTTCCAGCTGGTGGTCAACACAAGCAGAGAAAAAGGCAAGAATAAGTCCATCTTGTTTTGGGAGGCAGGAGATCTGAATTCTAGTCCTGGCTGGGCAGCCTTGGGCAAGTCACTCAACGCTTGTTACTCCAAATGTGGTACCTGGGCCAGCAGTATCCATGGCCCCTGGGAGCTTGTTGGAAATGCAGAACTTCTGGGCACACCCCAGATTTACTGAATCAGAGCCTGCACTGTTAGCAGGATCTTCAGGTGGTTTTATGCACATTGAAGTGTGAGAAGCATTAACTTCATATCTCTGAGTCTTTCCTAAATGAGGGGCCAAAATGTTTTTTTTTTTTTTTTTTTTTGAGATGGAGTCTCTCTCTGTACCCAGGCTGGAGTGCGGTGGCATGATCTCGGCTCACTGCAATCTCCACCTCCTGGGTTCAAGCAATTCTCCTGCCTTAGCCTCCTGAGTAGCAGGGATTACAGGCGCACACCACCACGCTCAGCTAATTTTTGTATTTTTAATAGAGACAGAGTTTCACCATGTTGGCCAGGATGGTCTCAAACTCCTGACCTCATGATCCACCCTCTTCGGCATCCCAAAGTGCTGGCATTACAGGCGTGAGCCACCACGCCTGGACCAAAGTGTCTTTCAAATTCAATATAAATATAACTAGCTTCGGCCAGGCGTGGTGGTTCACGCCTGTAATCCCAGCACTTTGGGAGGCCGAGGTGGGTGGATCACCTGAGGTCAGGAGATTGAGACTAGCCTGACCAACATGTAGAAACCCCATCTCTACTAAAAATACAAAATTAGCCAGGTGTGGTAGTGGATGCCTATAATCCCAGCTGCTAGGGAGGCTGAGGCAGGAGAATTGCTTGAACTCGGGAGGCAGAGGTTGCGGTGAGCCAAGATCACGCCATTAGACTCCAGTCTGGGCAACAAGAACAAAATTCCATCTCAAAAAAAAAAAAAAAAAAAATCTATATATTTGCATCCAGCCTCTTAAAAATTACAAAAGTAGGCCAGGTATGGTGGCTCATGTCTGTAATCCCAGCACTTTGGGAGGCTGAGGCAGGAGGATCATTTGAGGTCAGGAGTTTGAGACCAGCCTGGCCAACATGGTGAAAATCTCTACTAAAAATGCAAAAAAAAAGAAAACAAAAAACCTAAGTAGCCATGCATAGTGACACATGCCTGTAATCCCAGATACTTAGGAGGCTGAGGCAGGAGAATCGCTTGAGCTTGGGAGATGGAGGTTGCAGTGAGATGAGATTGTGCTGCTGCACTCCAGCCTGGGTGACAGAGTGAGACTCCATCTCAAAAGAAAAACCCAAAAAACAAAAAAACATATTCACAATTAAGAAAAAAAGTTAAATAGAAAAAAGAGCAAAAATGATTAGCTGGGCAAGGTGGCAGGTGCCTGTAATCCCAGCTACTTGGGAGACTGAGGTAGGAGAATTGCTTGAACCCAGGAGGTGGAGGTTGCAGTGAGCTGAGACTGCGCCATTGCACTCCAGCCTGGGCAATAAGAGAGAAATTTTGTCTCAAAAGAAGAAAAAGAAGAAGAAAAAAGAACAGAGAGCAAAAATAAAATGTACAAGTCCTTCTTCTTCCCACAACTCCCCCTCCCAGGCCTGCCTTCCACTAGCTGTCTCCTGGACCTCCTCAGGCTGGACCCTGGCATCCAGGCTTTCTCCCTTCCTGGCAGGCAATACCTACACTCCAGGTGGGCTTCTTTCGAAGCGGAGTTACTTGCCTTGAGTTGGAAGGATGGGGTGGAAAATCACCCCTTCCCCACAAGCTAACCGTACTCTTCACAGAAAGGCTTGCTCTGATGTGGCTATGGATCCCCCCTTTCCCCTTGACAGCCTGCAGGAAAGGAATGGGTTCCAGGTCAGAGAACTGGTCCTGCCACCTCTTAGCAAGTTATGTGGGGTTGCCTTTACTCCTCACTTTGAAATGTCAGCGGCTTGTCACTTGTCACTTATATTCTCAGTTTGAGGCTTCAGTTGACATCCTCAGACAAGAGTCTGTTATGGTCTTCCAAATCTAGGTGTCTGCAGATGGACCCCATATGACCATATTTGTCC